GCGCCCGCACCTCGCTCAGCCAGTGAGCGGCCGGTCTGTATGTGGGATCCGAACCCTCGGAAGGAGCGCCACCACACTCCCAAGTGGCGCACTGTAGCAGTGCGCCACCGGGCCGGCCCTCAGGTTAAAATATTTTAAATATCACTTACTATATACTTTACTTTCAACATAAACTTCTAGATAGTTGAGGATTCTGAATTAGGTATATTAAGTTTGTTAGCTAGTCTGACCCTTTTAATCCCCCTTCTTTTTTGATGACCATCACAAAATGTTGTAGCTGAAAAGAGACCTTATAGATCATAATCCTATCCCCTACCTGACAGATGAAAGGAAGGAGGAGTTCGTTTGAGGTTATAAAACCAGCGAGTGGCTCAAGTCAAACCGAGAGTTACATGTTGGACTCTTAGCAGGCTGTTACAATAGTGGCAGTAACTGTGCTCTTATTTGAATTTGTATCTGTGAGGTATATGACGAAAATAGAAGGCTAGCAAGGCTAGGCCACTTTACCAAGCCACTCAGAATTATGGGGCAGAATTAGACTCACCAGGTTTGTCTGTCTCTAAAGCTCATTCTTTTATCTCTTTATACTCTGCTTGTATGGTGCCTTTAAAACCAAAATTCACAATATCTAGTACTAAAACCCAATGTCTCCTCAGAGTCCAGTGATTTTTTTTCCCTGCCCCCACACTGTTGAGGGTAGTTTCCTCTCGGATGATTTTTCTCAAAGCAGTGAAATGACAGAGAAGTGTGCATAGGTCAGTTTAATACTTATTATACAGATTAAAGCTTTTATTTTATTATTTAAGCATTAAGGTTTTTTTGAATTTCTTTTTCTTTCTTTCTTTCTTTTTTTTTTTTTTTTAAAGATGACCAGTAAGGGGATCTTAACCCTTGACTTGGTATTGTCAGCTCCATGCTCTCCCAAGTGAGCTAACCATCCATCCCTATATAGGTATCTGAACCCTTGGCCTTGGTGTTATCAGCGCCACACTCTCCCAAGTGAGCCGCAGGCTGGCCCAAAGGTTTTTTTGAATTTCTGATTGGAATTTCTTCTTAATTGCAACACATACATTCATGTATGTTCTTTATTGGAGAGATTTTTATTTATTTATTACTTTAAAATATTTTATTTATTTTTTTAATTGAATCATAATTATAAATATTTTGGGGGCTCAATGTTGACATATGTTGATCAAATCAATATTACTAGTATGTGTATTGTTACAAATTGTACTTACTCTTCATGCCCCTTGTCCCATCTCTCACTATTCTCCTCTCCTTCCCCCCTCCCTCCACTGATAACCCTAGATTTCTTCTCTCCTTCTGAAAGAGTACTGGTTACTCTGTTGACTTGTTGCCTAGATGATCTGTCCAATGCTGAGAGGTGTGTTTGGGTCTTGGGTCCCCCAATATTATCATAGAGCAGATGCTACTTCTGTCACTCTGGAATGGGCTTTGTGGAGAGAGACATCCTCTTCTTTTCTTTGTTCTCTGCTGGTGACTCTCCTTGTGTCAATACACTCCAGTGGCTGGTGGACCATTTGCATGGTGGTTGTGATGTCAGGCCACTTTCACAGCAGCCGTGGTTACTGTGATGGTTGTGGTGGGCCACCTACATGGAGGTGATGTTTTTGGTATGCTCCTTGGTGCTGGTGGTGTGCCTGGTTGTGTGTGGGGGGATCTGGTCCCTGACTCCATGTCTCAGGTACCCAGGTGGGCCCCGAGGCACTGGCAGTGTGCCTGGTTGCGGGCGGGGGTATCCAGTCCCCGGCTCCATACCTCAGGTCCCTGGACAGGCCCCGAGGCACTGGCAGTGTGTCTGGTTGTAGGAGTGGGGGTCTGGTCCCTGGCTCCGTGGCTTAGGTCTCCGAGGTGTGGGTGGTGTGCCTGGTTGTGGGTGGGGGGGTCCAGTCCCTGTCTTCATGCCTCAGGTCCCCTGGCAGGCCCCAAAGCCCTTATTGGAGAGATTTTTAAACATACCTATCTCCAACTATAATTCTAAAAGCTAACAGGCCAGCCTTATAAAAATTCTTGGCACTTATCCTATAATGGGGTGATACACATTTTAGTCTTACCTGGGTTTTCTTCAGATATTTGCATGCATAATGTTAATCTAAAAAATTAAGCATGGAATTGCCCCTAAATTCCATCTACTACTGGACTTCTTGTTTCATTACTTTACTTTCTTTCTTTTCTTATATAGGGCTTTACACAGATATTTCAAAACCATTTAAAATAAAGTCAGTAATGAAATGGAAAATCTAGTTGCACTAAGAATATAGCCCATGAAATTATAGCCCATGAATTATAAAGAGAGGAAAATTCCTCTCTTTTCATATTGGTCTCCAGAAGTAAACTGTATCTTCAGTAAGTATCCACAGAACAATTTAAAGCTGCTTCCATAAAGTCATTAGATTTTCTTTTAATATTCCAAAGGTAGTCATTCATTTTAGTTCTTTCTCATATGATATAAAATCCAGTTCCTAAGAAATAAGTGTCTTTCAAGCACGGTTTTTAATGTAAACCTCATATATGCTTTATTGTCTGGTGACAAAGTCCTTGGAGAGTTTTACAAGATACCTACCTGAAATTCTTCAAGGAATTCATAGTTGAACAAGAAAAAAGTACCAAGTGCATCTATGTTCAAGAGACCAGACCTAATTTATATTTGTTCTTTAACAGCCATACCTTACATTTCAGAAATGGAAATAAACCTACATGACTGGAAATAACCTGTCATTTTGGTAACAAACACAATCCATTAAAACTTTTTGCATAGAAATCAGCTTACAAGTCAGAACTCATTAAGTGGAATAAAAATGTCGTCAATTTTCAGAGTATATTTCTTAAGAATGAGAGTTTATGATGATGGGTTTTTTTTGACCCTACAACAGTTAATAACAGCAAAAATAGTAATAGCTAGTGATTGCACACTTACCATCTACCCGACATTCTACTGTAAACTTATGTGCGTTATCTCACTTAATCCTATGACAGCATTATGAAGTATAAATATTCTTATTATCCCCATTTTACCAGTAAGGATTTAAGTCTTGGAAAGGTTCAAGGTCAGTCGGCTAGTAAGTAGTAGAAGCAAGATATTTGAATAAAATTTTCTCATCCTAAGAGACGTTTGTGCTTAACATTTATTGCTAAACTGCTGTTCGCATGAGCCTTGGTTATCAACAAGCAAAACACTTTGAAGATACTGGACAGTTAATTTGTTAGGTAAGTGTGCCAGTGCATTTTTCAAGGGGTTTTTAATAGCGGGAGTTAAACCAGAGTTTCAGTGATACTCAGTTAACCGATTAATCATCATTCCCAGTTGCAGAGTATTTCCAGGAATCTTGGGGTTTTTTTGTTTGTTTTTGAAATTAGTATGATTTTCATTCATCAGTGTCATAGTGTTAATTTTTATCCATTGCCTAGTAGTGCGTGAGGAGTTAGACAAAGCAAAGTGCCTCTCCAAGTTTGTACTAAGTCTATTTAGAATGTAAAATAGGCAGGTTTTGAGAATTTTCTTTGAGAGATATGTTATCTGCTTTATTTTAATCGTTTAATCATTGTATTATAGGTTACATATGCATTTATTCCTCCTTGTATACCAACTAGCATGAATTAAGACATAGCTTCTTAATCAAAATTTATCTCATGCTTGTCTATTCTTATATAACTGTATCGATAATCATATAGTCTTACATAAATAATCCTAATAGCTTATATCTCTGTTACAGATTTTATTAAACAAAGAAGAGCAGGACTGAACGAATTTATCCAGAACTTAGTTAGGTATCCAGAGCTTTACAACCAGTAAGTAGTTTTCATTGTGTTCTAAGGGGATGCTGAAACCAAAGCTAAGAATATTGGATAATTCTCCTATAGATTTTATCTGTTCTGTAAAATGTTATTTTCCTTATGTTTGTAAAATCTTCCTTGAGCATTTCTTTCCCATATTCTTAATCCCCTTTTTCCCTTCAGTTATTTTCTTTCTTCCTTTATATTTGCATTAGTTTTATAGATGAAACTTGAAAGAAGTTTGCAAAATGCAGTTAAAACATTTTGCTATTTATTTGATATTGTATATATCCATGCCTTCAAAAAGTATTTAATTATGTACTACTGTGTGCACTGGGAATATAAAGCTAAACGAGTGTCATCCATACCTTGCAGAGGCATGGGCTCCCAGTCTAGTGAGAGAGACAGATGTGTAAACAAGTAATTGAAGCTAGATAATTTTTATGATAGAGGTGCTAGAAGATAACAGAAAAATGTGGCCAGCTGTTCTTGGGGAGGTCAAGGAAGGCATCCTGGGAGTTAAAGGGTATGTAATCATTCAGGATGAAAAGGGTAGGGAGAGCATTCCCAGTAAAGAGAGTGGTGCATGCAACAGAGGATACAAAAGGCCTGAAACGTGAGGATACTTAAGTATTACCATTTTTGGTGACTGGAACAAAGTAGGTTTTCAGGAAGGCGATGAGGCTGAAGGAGTTGGCAGGGATCAGGCACATATGCCACCACTTCTTGTTCAACCTAGGACAGTGTTCTTTTCTGTCCACCCAACACAGCATTCCAGGCAGCCACTGAAGATGAAGGTGCTTTCCCAGTCCTGTGTGTTGTGCTGATGAGTTAAACTTCCTTTAGTAGGCCACCAGCTCCCAATGAAGGGAAAAGGTGGGTCATATTGGAAATACATAGGAAAACACAGGAAGATCAGTGGTTTGGTTTGTGTTTTCACTTTTGAGTCTGGTAGTTGGTTCATGGGTATTCGTTATATGGGGGGGTCTTCAAAAAGTTCATGGAAATATTCGTGTTATCTTTTAATTCAATTTTTCCACAAATTTTTTGAAGTACCCTCATATTTACTGTGATTTGTAATTTACACATATGTTACTTACATAGTTCTGTATGTATATAGTATTCTAAGAAGAAATAAAGAGAATAAAATATCTGAGGAGCTTTTTCACAACTCAGCTATCTGGGTAAATGTAAAGGTTGCTTATGGGCAGTGATGTAAACATGACACATTTGTACAGTGTTTTCAGAATCATAACACTGAAGGATTCTATTTTCAATCAGTTTTTCCAAATAAACAGTTACCATTTGTATAGTTTTTAAAGTTCACAGAGGGTGTCTACCATTCTGAGCAGGTCTTCTGACCTACTTTTCTACTTTACCTAATTTAATTTTCTAAATTAACTAAAATACCATAAGTGGACCTCTTCTGACAAGGTCGTCTCTCCAGAGTTACAGATTTCCCTTGGTGCTCACAGGTAGGACAAGGGTCAGGGAGGTCTTGAACCTGTGTTAGCACCAGGATTAGCCAGTGCAGTAAGAGCACCGTCTTTCCATTCAGTGCCTCTGCATGTGGCAAAAACCCACAAAATTGGGGAGGATCCTAGAACTCAGAGTTCCCATGTCTGGTCTGGTCTGCAGCAAAGGGCCTTTTATTATTTGGCTCGTCATATAATTATTCTTTTCGACTGTATGTGTTTTCCCTAGGACAAGTTTTATGCTATCTTCACCTTAGATCCACCATTCTAACCTCTGACTTTTGCTGTATTAACTGGAGATTACTTTGAATTGGCATATTACTGGCTTGTTTGAAATATAAATCATACATTCAGAGCTTGGATTTGTCTCTTCCTTTGACAGAGTCTGGCATTCAACAAGTACTCAATAAACGGTGGTGGTTATTGTTTTTTTTCCTGGTATTTTTAAGTGTTAACAACCTCTAACACTGTATAGTAAATACTAAATACTCATTCTGGATCTTGAGATATAGTATTATAATGATGTTATATTTGACATTAACTTTCGACTAAAAGCAATTCCTTTATTTTAAACTGCCAGTTTTTAAAACATTGTACTGTAAAATATGCAATTTTTAAGTATGTAACTAAATGGATTTTTACATGCATTTGCACCCTGTAACCACCACCATTTCATTCAAGATAGAGGACATTTCTAGCATCCCGAAAATAAAAAACAAATAGCCAAGAGTTTTATAAACTGAACTTTTAACTAACATTTTTTTTAAGTGAAATGTGACATTTCATGTTTTCTGGATTTCATCATGTTAACAAAACTTTAATTTTCATACTCTTCATTTGAACATCAGATTATTTAAAATAATACAGATTTAAGAGAACAAGAAGAGAAGCAATGAGCAAATGTTTCTTGAATACCTACTGTGTGTCTATCATTATTTAGGGAAATGCATTTTAAAAATAGTTTCACTTCAGTAGAGAAAAGCTAATTTTTAAAATGACTTTATTAAAATTAAGTTTAAGAATTATTTAAAAACTGGAATAAAATGTTGGTATTTCTTTGATGTCTGGATGAAAAAGGGTTTTCTGAGTATATCAGCAGTGAATGAGTAATAAAAACTTTTGAACTCTGAAATCATAAGTGAAATTGAAAACTAAAAATATAGAAAATGTTGCCCATGATAAAGGACAATAGACTTAACATAGAAAGAGCTCATCCAAACAGTACATACTTCAGGTATACCAAAAGAAAAGAGGGCAAATCACATGAATGATTTACAAAGGAGATACAAATGGCTGATTGATTATCAGAGAAACTGAACACTTTCTTATACATTTAAGAAAAGAAAATGAAATCAAATGTATCTTATTTTAATTTTATTGCAGTATCATGTATAGAAAAGTGCCCAAATCATGACTGTATAGCTTAATGAATTATGAGAGACTGAACACACCTGAGTTGTCACCACCTTCCCCAGGCTAAAAATAGAATATTACCAAATTCCCTGAAGCCCCTCACCCACCTCCTCTCAATCTCTGTTCCTTCCTTCCTTCCCTCCTTCCCAGTGGTAACTGCTACCCTGATTTTCAACAACATAGATCAGTGTGTCCTATTTTTGAACTTTATGTAAATGGAATCATACAATATGTATTCTCTGTCTGGCTTATTTTCTTATTTTTTTTTAGGAGTTTGACCTTTATTTTATTTTATTATTTATTTATTTATTTATTTATTGCATTTCTTTCTTTCTCCCTTTTTTTCTTTCTTTCTTTTTTTTTTTTTTGGCAGCTGGCCAGTACAGAGGTCAATCCCTGGACATTGGTGTTATCAGCACCATGTTCTAACCAACTTAGCTAACCACCAGCCCTTTTTAAATTTTTTCTTTTTCTTTTCTTTCTTTCTTTTTTTTTTTTAATTTTATTTTGTCGATATACAATGAGGTTGGTTATTGTGGCCCATTACCGAAACCCCCCTCCCTCCTGTCTGGCTTATTTTCAATGGTGTGAGAGTCATTCTAACATTTCACATTTACTGCTACTAACCAAGACTGGGAGAGTCTTCAGAATGTACATATACTTGTAGGAGACTATAAATTGGTACAGCCTCTCTGGAAATGAGTTTAACAGACTATTTAAGGCCTTAACATGGTTTATCCAGACCAAGTAATTTTATTTTATAAAATCTGTCCTGAAAATCATAAATGCAGTTCTCGTGTTATTCACAAAGATTGCCAATTATACCCTTATTTATAGTAGTGAAAGTTGTATAGTAAAAAGTTGAAGCCATCTATATTTCCTAAAGTGGAAGAATCATTGAAGAAGTTTTAGTGTATCTGTATTATGGAACATCATACATCTTTTGAAAGTAATTGTTTACAGAGTTTTTTAACAACATGGAGAAATACTTACGATG